TTTTTTTTTTTTTTTTTTGGTTTTTCGAGACAGGGTTTCTCTGTGGTTTTGGAGCCTGTCCTGGAACTAGCTCTTGTAGACCAGGCTGGTCTCGAACTCACAGAGATCCGCCTGCCTCTGCCTCCCGAGTGCTGGGATTAAAGGCGTGTCTCCCACTTTTCCTATGGGTTCTAGGCTTGAACTCAGGTTGAAAGGTTGCCTCGCGAGCACTTTACTCACTGAGCCATCTTGCAGGCCCAAGATGGGGTTTATAAAGATATTTAATATAGGCCTAAGCATGAGGGTTGAGAAAGAGAGACAGACAGACAGGCACACCCACGAGCATGGGGTGTGAGCTCTGAGGAGTCTCAGAAGGACTCTTAGTAGGTACAGACTCATCATGGAAGACTTGAGAGTAGCAGCCAGATGCTTTTGTAAATGATGAATCAACTCCCTCCCATCACGTATGAGCATCCTTAAGCGTTCACTTCCAGATAACTCCAAAACAATGTTTATATGTAATATATGGATATGCAATTCTTGGACAAGACAGAATTTACTAACTGTATTTTGGGTTGTTTCATGTTTTGAGAAAAGATCTCACTTTGTAGCTCTGGCTGGCCTGGAACTTGGAGACATTTGTTTGCCTCTGCCTTCTCAGTAGTAAGATTGAAAGTGTGTGCCACTGCCTAGTGTATTTTGGATTTTAAGGTAGGAAATACTTTTGGATCAGGTTAATTGTGTAAGTGTATGCCTGTAATCCCAGCATTTGACAAGAGGATTGCCTTGAGTTCTAGGGTAGACTGCGGTACCTAGAAAGTGCTGGGGTCAGCCTAGACTACAAATAAAGTCCTTTGGGAATCAAATGATCCTTTCATAGGGGTTACCTAAGACCTTTGGAAAACAGATATTTGTATTACGATTCATATCAGTAGCAAAGATATGGTTATGAAGTAACTATGATTTTTTTTTTTTTTTGAAACAGGGTTTCTCTGTGTAGCTTTGGAGCCTGCCTTAGAACTCGCTCTGTAGACCAGCCTGGCCTCGAACTCACAGAGATCCTCCTGCCTCTGCCTCCTGAGGGCTGGGATTAAAGGCGTGCGCCACCACCACAGCCCCCCTGCTACAAAATAATTTTATGGTTGGGGTCACCACAGTATGAGGAGCTGTATTAAAGGGTCGCAGCATTAGGAAGGTTGAGAACCACTGATGGAGGTCATTTTGCTCAGCCTTTAAAAAGGGGAATGTCTTTTTTTTTTCTTTCATGCTTTGTTTTGTGTGTGGGATGCACGTGTGGGGGAAAGAACAGCCTTCAACCACAAGGGGATGCAGGTTTGGCTCCATTACCCACTGACCCACTGCAGCCCCTCCTCCTCCCCCACCCCCTGTCTCTTTGTGTTGTCTTTCAGATAGGTCCCCATGTAGCCCCCCAAATCCTGGTTTTCCTGCTTCCTCCTCCCAAGTACTGGGTCTACCTGTGAGCACCATGACATGCAGCTTTTGAAGAGGAGTCTTAGAGAGAGGTCTAAAGTGAACGTTTGATCCTTGTTGCAAAAAGAGACATCAGAGATCCAGAAATAACACAGACATGCAGAGCAATAAGTAGGGAAAACTAAAGCCAGTATAACAGCCCTAGTTGTCCAAGAACTCACTATGTAGACCAGGCTGGATTTAAACTTGCCGAAGTCCATTTGAATCTGTCTCTCGAGTGCTGGGATTAAAGGTATAGGCCTCTACTCCCAGCTCATCAAGGTATTTTTATCAGGACAGGCTCGTATGACTTGAAGAAAATGTGTTATGGCAGCTAAAAAGAATAAAATAATATAAGCTGGATATGGTGATACACACCTATAAGCCATGCTCTTGGGAGAACTGAGGCAGAAGGATGACCAACTTGAGGTCAGCCTGAGCTAGAGTGAGACCTTATCAGTGTGCTTCCATACCCCCAAAACGTTAAAAAGTAAAACAAAGCTTTACAGTATTGGAAACTATTGGCTGACTTTATGTCGTCAGTCCCCCAGCCCCCGCTTCAGAAGCTACATGTGAAGAAATGAGCAGTCACATAGTAATAAACAAGCCGTTTGAACGGGATGCATGTTGTTTTGATGTGCAGTGCATGTCAGTGGTGGCCTACTCCACTTAGCGTGTGGTTTTAATTATAAACAATGACTTTAGGTGGAGTGACTGGACTCGGTCCTGCTCCTCCTCTGTGTTCCTTATCTTAGTGGAATCATTTTCCAGCTGTGCAGAGAACCTCTGAATCATACGTCTATTTCATCCTCATATCAGAATAGTCACTGAGGCCAACTTAATTTCACCTTGGAAATATTTACTCTTAAAAATTTTAAGACTTTGATTGTTACTGGAAGTGTGGAGGTCAGAGGACAACTTGGAAGTTGGCTCTTTTTCTGCCTTTACATGGGCTCCAGGAATAGGTCATCAGGCTCGCGTTATCTTGTGTGTACACACACGTGTGTGACAACTTGCTGAAAGTCCTCCGTCCTCTATGTGGGCTCCAGGGATCAGACTTAGGTCATCAGACTGGACAACAGGCATCTCTATCCATTCAGCCATCTCAGCAACCTATGAGTGTCTCTCTGAGCAGTTAGAAGTGGAGAATTAACCAGCCAGCAACTGGTCACCATCTTTCTTTTCATGCTCTGGTGCTTTGAGGCAGGGTCACAGGCTGGCCCTCCTTTCACCTGTAGATAAAGGACAACCTTGAGTTTCTGCTGCTAGGACTCCACCTCCTAAGAACTGAGACTGTGTGTGCACCACTACACTTCACT